GTTCAGCAGTAGCAGTCATTTTTCCCCTTCTTGGTAGCTGGTGCAGTGCAGTGTTTTGACTTTCAGCTCGGGAACAGAGCTGATAGCGATGTTTTGGTTTGGCCAAGGACTTTGTGAGCCTCATGCTCTGCCAGGGGGGAGGGGAAGCCAGGAGGAAGCAGAGACAGGACACCTGACCTAAACTGACCAAAGAGGTATTCCATACCACAGCACGTCATGCCCAGGATGTAACTGGGAGTTAGCCGGAAGGGCTGGGAGACTGCAGGGTTGGAGGAGGTATCGGTCAGAGCTTGGTCGGGCTTGGGGGCTGAGTTATCAGTCAGCTGGTGCTGAGGTGTTGTATTCTCTTCCCTTGTTATTTCCTTTATCATTATTATCATTGGTGGTAGCAGTAGTGATGTGTGTTATACCTTAGTTACTAAACTGTTCTTATCTCAACCCATGGGAGTTGCATTCTTTTCGATTCTCCTCTCTGTCCCTCCGAGAGCAGGGGGAGGGCAAGAAAAGGGGGGGAGTGAGTGAATGAGGTACCTGACTGGGTTTAAACCACGACAGAGAGTATTACCTTTGTTTACTAGGAGAAAGAGGGGTGGTGAAGCCTGAATAGGTTTAAAGGCATTTAGGTACCCACTCAAACCAATAGGAAATGGGTCCTAAATACTCATGGAAGATCTGGGTTTCACTCTAGGGAGGATCAGCACACAGGTATTACAAATCTCTGGATGTTTCCTATGCTTCTACTTGCAATGAATAAATCTTCCAAAATGCCTCAGTCAGGGCAGGAGGCCCCTGTGAAGCTGAATCATAGAATCATAGAATCGTTAGGGTTGGAAAGGACCTTAAGATCATCTAGTTCCAACCCCCCTGCCATGGGCAGGGACACCTTACGCTAAATCATATCACCCAAGGCTCTGTCCAACCTGGCCTTGAACACTGCCAGGGATGGAGCATTCACAACCTCCCTGGGCAACCTATTCCAGTGCCTCACCACCCTAACAGGAAAGAATTTCCTCCTTATATCCAATCTAAACTTCCCTGTTTAAGTTTTAACCCATTACCTGTTGTCCTGTCACTACAGTTCCTAATGAAGAGTCCCTCTCCAGCATCCCTATAGTCCCGCTTCAGATACTGGAATGCTTCAGCATGTCTTAAAAGAAAATCAAACCACTCTTCCCCCTCTCACTTTCACTGGTATGAAGTAATCAAAGGTTTCTTTTTCTGTTCACAAAGTGGCACCCTAACTTTTGGGTTTGCTGTTTTTCCTTTTCCACAAGAAAATACCCTGGTGGTTCTTGGTGTCACTGAGAACCAGGAGTCATTATATGTTGTGGTGAGCACTCTTTCATAACAATAAAGTTGCGTGCAGCAGGATTACTCTTTGAACCAGAGTGTTAACTGAGAGATTGGGGTCACATCCGTCACCTAAATGTGATGTGGTCTGCCTGCACTCATAATAAAGAACAAATGTTTGGTCTGGAGGTCAGGATTTTTGGATTCACAGTGCACTTAGCTAGATCTAGGTCTGATCCAGGGTTAAAATCAATATCACAAATTGCAGCTAAAATGACAAAGAATATGTTTCCATCCACGCTATATTTTAGGTACAGTAGCCTTAATGTATAAGTAGGTCAATTCCATTAAGATGTAATTTCATTAAAGGACTGTAACTGCAGCTGGAATTTGGCCACTAGATTATACTTTATTTTTTATCTACGGCAAGTGTACAGATATGCATTGCTCTTGGATGCTGCTCACTTGGGAAGTTCTGCTTTAGCACAATAAACCCAGTAATCAGACACTGCTCTCTGCAAGAAAGTTCGAAGGGAACCAGTAAAAAGTGTTTGTCTATAGGGAATACATTCTTTTGTTGAACTGTCGCAAGAATACCTGTCAAAGTAGTATAGTAAAGCAGTTGCACGTTTAAAAAATGCACGTTATAGAAACTGAGACTTTCAGTTTAATGCACTTGTACAGGTACATATGCAAGTCGAATATTTAGCAGTAGAGCCTTCAGGCTTGCTTTCAAAAGGAACATGAGAGAAAATATTTTAGGAAGCTTCACTTCAGTTTCTGTGATGTGGCAAATCTAAGCATAGCTGTCCATAATAGACTTTAAAGTCTTGGAATAAGGAGATGGAAGTGTAATTAGGAAAAGACATTTTTTCTGCATTTCATGCTGGCTAAGGCACAGTATCTGTCACCAAGCATGGTGCAAGGAGGTCTTGCAGATGAGGAGGAAAGGGGAAGTAATCTCAAAATCTTGGAAAATGAGCAAGATTATGGGATGGCATTTATGTAATCCTCTGTGAGGATTGATTTCATATGGCAAGTCATACTGAGCTTTGTAGCAGAGTGATGTCATAGTCATAAAGGGTGTCTACGTCTGCTGGTGGCTCAATCATAGATTGAGAGTTTGTTGCAGTAGAATTCTTGCACAAACTGGAAGTTTATTTTGGGTTTCATCCCCACTGCCCATTCTCCAAAGGGCGTCGCCCAGCACTGACATACAGCACAGAGCATAATATGCTTTTCTCCACTTACAGTGCAGAGCTGGGGAGGAAATATAGCCAAAGCTGTAGCCAGGTAAAGAGCACCAGCTCTTTCTCTCTGCTGTGGGTGCCTTAAAAAGCCCCAGCTTGCCGGCAAGGATCTGCTGCATGTCTGTGGAGGAAGTCTGGGGAGAGAGATGATCATAATTTGGCAAGAGATGCTCTGAATGACTTGCTTCCCTGGTAACCTGGCAGCTCTCCAAGTCAAAATCTGAATAGGAGCTAAACTGCTCAAAGCATTAATTCCACTTATAGTCGCAAGCTTTCTCTTCCTCCTCCCTGCTCCCGCTGGAGCAGTGCTCAGCAGAATTGGAAGTATCCTATGATCGTGCAGGTTTTGGAGTTCTCATGCTGTCAGCAGAGGCAGGGAAGACATTGCTACACAGTGTGGTTTGTCCCCAGTGTGGCCTGCCTGCTGTGATGAAAAGGAGGACTGGGACGCTGGCAAGCGACTTACATCTGCCCTGGGCTCCATCACTTGACATGGCCTGATCTTGTGAGGACTTAAACACTACATGTAAAAGCTTTTCCTGTTGTATTGATATTTGGGAATTCCTGTTTACATGGAAAGCTTTTCCATGAATTTTCAATTGTAAGGATCTTGGGATTACCTTCTACTGCCCCTGGGTAGTATGTCTGACTTAGACATACTCCTCCTGCTCCCCCCCGCTATTCCACACAAGCAGCTTTTGGCAGCTTTTCAGGGCTCCCCAGCTTATGATCAGGTCTTTGTGAAGTTTAAAATACTACTCTGAATCTAAATTCTGATGTAAAAATCAGTTTTATGTCCCTTGGATATTTATAGCCAAATGTTTTAAATCTCCCAGTTTAAATCATACTATAATTAGTGGTGTTTTTTAAAGTACCTTTGAAATTGTCCTATTTCCTTCCTAATGCTTTTTGTAACAGTTATGCCTTGAGTTTTCAGTTAGCGTACAGTATTAGTGACTCATATATTCCAAAATATTGCAAAAAAGAAGCAATAAAATTTCTACCTGTTGGAGAGTGAAGAGATGTAAGTTAAGCTGGATGCAGATGCAAATTAATATCTATAGAAGAAATGCTGATGTTTATTTTGTCAAGATATATAAAAAAGCAGTATAAAATTAAACAAGAATAATGCATACAGCTACTTTGTTCTTATTAGTGAGTTTTCTCTCTATGGAGGCAGTAACAGCAGCAGCCCAGACAGTTTCTTAAGGCTTTTCCTGCTCCTCTGTGCCCTCTGTTTTTGATCACCTGCCAAGGCTTGTGAATAGTGCCAAATCAAATAGTACAGCATCTCCATAAGTCTGCTCTTCGAAGCTAAGGAATTCAGCAGTTGAAGTGCAATGCCAGATATAAAAGAAGCAATTATAGCGGGCTTCCAGGAATTTAGGTTGAATAACTTTAATATTTGTATAATAGATATTTTGAGGCTCTTTTTACTAACTGGACTTCTGCTTTCTGGATGCTTTATCCATAGAATCTTAATCTATGCAAATAGAATCTTGCAAAAACATGGGGTTTCTCTTTCTTTTTTTTCCTTTAGGTTCTGAAGTTCCATACAAACTTTGAAGCCTATTTCTGTGTACACTGGCATTGGCAACTGAAGCACATTTGTCGCTGAAAGAGAACCATTGCAGGAGGAATCAGAGCAGCTATTTGAGTATAGAAGACCACATTCCTCTTTGCAAGTATTTCTCTTTCTTCATATTTACACAGAAGCCTTCTCAAGTTTTTGGGTGGGTTCTTTTTTCCTTCTCAATCAGTAACAGTCAAGAAAATATTCTATGTGATATCCTCCAGGTTTTCATGCTTAATACAATGAAATGAATTAGTGAGGTGATGACATTGTTAAGAGTGAAAGGAAGAAAACTTGGATTTTTTTCCACTGAATTGCAGTGTGGACACTTGTCAGTTCTGGATGAAGTAAAATTCATCTCACTGTGATTGACCATCCAAAATCTATTCACCATTTAATCTGCAGGAACACAAAGAGAAGCTTTTCCCAAAATGAAACTATTTTTACATATACATTAATGAGCAGCCAAACTCTTGGGATCTAGAAAGCCAGAGTCCATTTGCACTGATTTAACCCACTGCTTGCTTAAATTCTAGATGAGAGAGCAGGGAAAATGTAACTAAACTTGAAACTTGATTACAGCATGACAAGATTAAGGGAATAAATGGGCAAAATCGATCTCAAATTTACTGATTTTTCTTTGTAAAGATTCCCTCTTCAGCTTTGTATGTATTTTCTTATTGTCTTGTAAAGAAGCAATGGCTTATTACTACCCACATGACCCAGACCTTCCACACTGTGCCTGTTTGTTAAATTCACACCACTGTGTTAAAAGGGGCAAATAATTTCTTTGAATGCCTTCAATGAGATAAAACTTCAGTACGTTTTCTATGTTGTTTCAATCATTTGTACCTTGGAATACTTGGACTATCATGATAAAGGGGAAAATGGTTGAAGATTTCCACTTTTATGTGAAATTTATTGAAGTAGCTTTGGATGGTAGTGAGCTCTAACAAAAACTAAAACAAACCAAAAAATCCTTTTTCGTAATTGTGCGTGGATTTTTCTTCCCTTTTTATTTTACTGAGCTAGCTCAAGTCTTCACTACAATAGATCAATAAAGAACTTGTTTGCATTAACACAACTAACTTTACACTTGATGTAGGTGCCTGGCCATATACAGAGGTCATTTGTGCTGGAAAGGCATGAGAGAAATCAAATCTTTTACCTGCTTTGGTGGAATCTAGGGACTGCTTCAATATATAAAAAATCACTCTTTCCACCCACAGGCACTTAGTTCTTAATTGTAGCTGCTAGAGCTCTGTTATCCATAGCCTCTGTGGGGTTGTAGGAGTAATAATAACCTAAAAAATCCTAGATTTAATTTTATTTTAAGCTCAAAAAAAAAAAAAAAAAAAAAAGAAAAATCAGTCTATTTGTCCTCTAAGTTTTTCTTCACATCACAATCAAAATTCATTTCCCAGTTATTCATTCAGAAACACTTTGTGAATTTTCTTTCTTGGATTAAGGGGTGGCTTCATTGCTGCATAGGCACAAATTTTCTCCAGCAATGTAGTGTAGGCTCATTGTAAACGATATCACACACTTAGGGGAGTTCACTATCCTTGTTACCTGATTTTACTTGCTGCTGAGCTTCCAAATTGTACTAGCATTTGTTAAGACAGGGTTACTTTATGTCTGCTCTTTTTTCTCCTCTCTTGTTCTCCCCATCTCTAGTGAAAGATGCAGCAGAAGTGATGATTACCTATCAAGTAGATGTCAGTTCAAGTATATATAGTGTGTGAAAGTCAGGTGTGCTGGGGAAACTGTGCTGGGGAAACAGTCTTCATGCTATAGAATCATCGAACGGTTTGGGTTGGAAAGGACCTTAAGATCATCTATTTCCACCCCCTCTACCTCACTCTAGACCATGTTGCCCAAGGCTCTGTCCAACCTGGCCTAGTAACACTGCCAGGGATGGAGCATTTACCACTTCTTTGGGCAACCTGTTCCATTTCCTCACCACCCTCACAGTAAAGAACTTCTTCCTTACATCCAATCTAAACTTCCCCTCTTTGTTTGAACCTGTTACCCCTTGTCCTATCACTATGTCCTGGGTTCAGCAGTAGCAGTCATTTTTTCTCCTTCTTAGTAGCTGGTGCACTGCTGTGGTTTTGATTTTTGGCCTGGGAATAGCGCTAATAACACCGATGTTTTTAGTGTCTGCTCAAATGTTTGGTCTGGCCAAGGATTTTCTGAGCCTCATGCTCTGCCAGGGAGGAGGGGAAGCCAGGAGGAAACAGAGACAGGACACCTGACCCAAACTAGCCAAAGAGGTATTCCATACCACAGCACATCATGGCCAGGATGTAACTGAGAGTTACCCGGAAGGGCTAGTGGACTGCAGGGTGGGACTAGGGACCGGTCAGTGCTCAGTCGGGCTGGATATTATCGGTCAGCAGGTGGTATTGTATTCTCTTCCCTTGTTAATTCCTTTATCATTATTATTATTGGTGGTAGCAGTAGTGATTTATGTTATACCTTAGTTACTAAACTGTTCTTATCTCAGCCCGTGGGAGTTGCATTCTTCTCAATTCTCCTCTCCGTCCCTCCGGGAGTAGGGGGAAGGAAAGAAGGGGGGAGTGAGAGAGGGACTTTGTGGCTGTTTTATGCCTGACTGGGTTTAAACCACAACAGTTTTTTTTGCCCCCCCCCCCCCCCCCCCCCCAGCGTGGGGTACGAAGGGTTGAGATAACAACAGATCTGACCGGATTAATAGTCACTCTTCACAATGCTGATTTATTGGCTCTCAGAGCTGTTCTTCTTGATCTCACAGTTTCAGAATGTTGTAACTTACTTAGAGCCGGTATTTGCTGTGTTAGTGTTTATCAAGTGTGGGGCCTGGGCTAAGGTTCTTGTCTCACTGTGCTTTATGGCCATGACTTGTAATACGGGCGGGCTCCAGCAGCAGGGCGGGACGGACGTGGCCGTGGACTTGTACCTGGCCGTCCGGCTGCTCTTCACCGGCCTGGCCCTCGTCCTCGCCTCCATCTTCGTGAGGCCGCGGGGAGCCGAGGGGGAGCGGCCCCGGGAGCCGGCGGAAGCCGAAGCGGCCCGGGAGAGCGGCCCCGGGGACCAGGCGGAGGCGGGAGCGGGGCCAGAGGCCGGGAAGGAGGTGGCTGCTGAGCAGCAGGAGGAGGTGGCAGAGGAGCTGAGCCCTGCTGCCTTGCCCAGCCCCGCGATGGCCAAGAGCGTCCTCTGGCAGCTGCTCACTGAGCCCCGCGAGCCCGAGTCCCAGGAAAATGCGGAGAGCAAGATACCAACTTTGGGAGCCTCAGCTGGGTCCAGCCTCAGGCACCCAGAACAAGTGGAGGATGCAGGAGACTACGCAGCATTTCCCAGCAAGGCAGAGGAGGAAGAGCTGGACTCAGAAAAAGAGAAGCCGGTGGTGGGAGAGCCGGCAAGCACAGCAGCTACACCAGCCCCAGTGACAAGTACAGCAGCATCAACTGAGAGTTCTGAAGGTTGTGAATGGGCTTTGGGTACCCTTGGGACCTGCCTGCTGATTGTGATGGGGATCAGCATGTTGGCACACATACAGAGTGTGTTTTACCCATGACCATTTTGTCTGATCTCAAAAGTTAAGCAGAGTTGAGTTTGGGTCTTGTCTAGGGTCAGATGACAATATAGGAGGACCAGGAGATTTTCCCCAAGGCTGGACAGTCATGAGTGGCAGGGCATGTGTGACAGTATGGGCAAGTATCTAGCCCACTGGGACCCTCCAGTGCTTTGGAAGCATTGGAGATGGAAGGCAGCTGTATGGAGTCCCCAGCGATAAGTTGCAGAAACTGCTGAAGGGGAGGGTGAATTATTTTGAGCCTGGTGGGCCCATGACACTTCAGGCCATCAGAGCAGAGATGCAACATAGAGATGGACTCATGATCAAGGGGTGGACTTAACAATGGACACTATTGCCCAGGTTATTCACGAGTGTGAACACTGCACACAGTCTCTCCTGCTCTGGAAGACTGTTACAAGAGATGGAGCCTGACATCATGGACCAGATGGACTCAGCAGCTTTATAGGGACTGGTCCATGCACTTAGATAAGAGTGCACTGAGATAAGAGTGATGGTATATTGAAAATGTGGGATCTGAGCATGACGTGAATGGTATGGATTAAGGGGTGGATAATGTCCTGGGTTCAGCAGTAGCAGTCATTTTTTCTCCTTCTTAGTAGCTGGTGCAGTGCTGTGGTTTTGATTTTTGGCCTGGGAACAGTGCTGATAACACCAATGTTTTTAGTGTCTGCTCAAATGTTTGGTCTGGCCAAGGACTTTCTGAGCCTCATGCGCTGCCAGGGAGGAGGGGAAGCCGGGAGAAAGCAGAGACGGGACACCTGACCCAAACTGACCAAAGAGGTATTCCATACCACAGCACGTCATGGCCAGGATGTAACTGAGAGTTACCCGGAAGGGCTAGTGGACTGCAGGGTGGTACTCGGTATCGGTCTGGGTATTATTGATTGGCAGGTGATATTGTATTCTCTTCCCCTGTTATTTCCATTATCATTATTATTATTGGTGGTAGCAGTAGTGATTTGTGGTATACCTTAGTTACTGGACTGTTCTTAACCCGTGGGAGTTACATTCTTTTTGATTCTCCTTCCCATCCCTCCAGGAGTGGAGGGGAAGAGAAAGGAGGGGAGTGAGAGAGGGACTGCGTGGCTGTTTTATGGCTGACTGGGTTTAAACCACAACACCCTACAGTCCCTGATGAAAAGAGTCCCTCTCCAGCATCCTTGTGGGCCCCGGCATTACTGTAGGCTGTAATCATGTCTTTCATGACTTGGTGACTCTAACTTCTTTTCACTGTGGAATGGTTTGTTTCATCTCTGCAAATAGTGAACTGATTATGCACCCTATACATGTGGATTACTTTTCACCCTTTCTTTTTGATTGAACAGTATAAAGGCTAAAGGATGTAGGCATTATGCAGTACAGTGCCAAAAGTCTTCAGGTCAGGCAGGGCAGGTCAGCACTGTACTGCATGGAAATCTCTAGGTCATTGTTGAATTTGTGGCACAGGGTTTGGTGTCTCATTCAGGACTGTTATTAGACATTGTACTGAGCCTTGGGATGCTAAAAAGGCACGTGCTAGGAAACGTCAAAGAGAAGGCTGCATCTAAAACTTCTTTCTCTGCCACAGGTGTACATGCCTATGCTCAGGTTTCAGCCATGCCCCTGGTGAATGTTGGTTTTAGAATTTGGAGCTGTGCTCAAGCAGAGGTTTAGGAGCAGAGCAAGAGGAACTGCATTTAGCTTCTGAGATCTTGTGAGAGTAAAGCTTAAATTCACAGAACATATTTGATCCTCAACTACTTGGTTTAGGTAGAATAAGTAGAATGAAATTTTAATATTTCATCTTTCAAGGCTCCTTGAAGTGTGGAAAAAAATAGTGTCCTAAGGGATCTTTATACTTTTGTGCAAACCTAGTATATTTTTTTAGTCAGTACTTAACATGAAGGAGAGGTTTTTTTTATTTAATAATTTTGTTTTAAAGGAACAAATTTCTAGCTTTGGGTTTTGCCAAAACATAAAATCCACGCACATACACACACATGTGCTGTCAAATAGGTGACAATTGCTAGTATCTCTTTTGTAGGGGAGTAGAATATGTTGTAAAGTAAAGTAATTCCTCTTTGCTTTAGAAAGCAACCTACCTTTTGTAATATGTAATTCTATGTTACCGTTTTCTTGGGAAAAAAAAAAAGAAACAACTTTCTTTGAACTAAAATAAACTTTCTGAAATAACTCTCACCATTTGGGAAGCTTTCAACACATGGTAGGACAGAGTTCTTTCTTTTTCTCTTCCAATAATGTTTTACACTGTGCCGTGACTTAAACTTTATTTTCAGATGTTGTGGGAGCATCTGAAATCCTTTGCCAATCCACCTTTCTCTCCAAATCCTTGGAACAAAATTAACAGAAAAATGGTGTATACATATAGGTATGCTACAAATACATGTATATGCTACATATACATGTATATGTACGTGTATACAGATACATGTATATGGTATACATGTATATGGTTTATATGTTATAAAATAATAACCATGGTAGGTAGCAAACCAAAATAGCCTACAAATGGAGCTTTCTCACATCATTTTCATGATAATTACTAATAGCAAATGCTGTTTTTCCGTGAGGTTTGCAAGAAAGTGGTGAAAGCTCAGGTGGTGCAGGGGCAGACCGATATTTTCTGGTATAGTGTTTACAAAATGATTAAAAATGTGCTGTTTTGTGTTTTGTTTTGTTTTTTTTTTTCAATTGAAAGCTGGGTGGGAGCTCTTCAAGGGGGAAGATATAATCAAATAAGAGGGTTTTTTTTATAGCAAAGAGAGCTGTTGGTCTAGCCAAGTGTTTAGAAATGGAAGTAGGATGCAGAATCCAGGCATAGCCATTACCCATGGGGTGGTGAGGATGCTTGATCCACAGTCTGCATGTTGAAAAAAATCTATAGGTTCTAATCTGATTTGTGATAATTATTGATGGATTTTTCACTTTATGTGGTTATGTTTGTTGGTGGTTTTACTGAAGCAGTCTATATATAAGTTTGCAAAATCCTGGAACCCTTTCAGGCAATGTTTGTGTATGTCTGTTTTAGCAGTTCACATGAGTAATCCAAAATAAGCTTGCTAAAGGGAAAGGTTGTCTTTCACTGATGGGTTTTTATTTTTTTTTTCATTAATTTTAGGTTCATATTAACACATAGTATGTTCAAAGAGAAAAACTGATGAAGAGCCTAGTCCAACAGTCTCAGTTTATTTGGATCAAGAAATGTATGACTGAGTCTTGATATAGTAACAGTTAATGTTATAGATTCTTACATTCACCTTGAGCAATCCTACGGTTTAAAGTTTATGCAGTAAATTATTAGGTTTGGCAATGACTCAGTCGTCAAGTTTAGTTTTATACCAAATTGCTTGAAGATACCAAATGACAGGTTTTGTAATGAAAGGTTGCAATTATTGCTAATTTCTTCAGTAGCAGTAACAAATCACTGATGCTGATTCTGCATTCGTAAGTGGCTTTCTAAAATAATATCCTGGGGTGTCTGCCTTACCAGTCTTCTATTCTGTTCATAAAGCTGAATATATCAGGTAAAGTTACAAGTGTGCGGGAGGAATTTTCAGATAAATTATTACTGAATGATCAAGCTGGGTGTTCTGGGTTTGTTTAGGGTTTTTTTTTTAGCACATTTTGTTCTTCTTATCTATTTTCTCTTGCTTGTTGTTTGTGTTTCTTATTCTACATGCACACACCCCTTCTGAATGATTTGCAGTGAACTGCAAAAATGGGTTATTAACCATGGTACAGTGTTACACTGATGTGACTATTCTGCTCCTAGTCCTGCAGGTATCATGCTCAGCCCTGGCTCAGGGATCTGTGTATTGTGTACTACTCAGTATAGCGTAAACACTTCAGTCTTCCCAAGCTTCTGAAAGTATTCATTCCACAGAGGTTTATCACATTGCCAAGCTCATATAACCTCCTTATCACAGCCAGTCTCACACAAGTGACATCATGAATTATCCTTATGCTGTCCTGGCCAATATTAATGTATTCATTCCAAATAAAACAGCTTCTAATTGCCTAAACTGTGTGTGAGCTATCATCCACAGGGGTGCTGCTGCTGCTATTGCAAGTATTTAATGGCTTTGTAATACCACAAGTATGAAAAAAAAACTATATAAAAGAAACTCTGATTTATTTGACATCATGGTTCAACAACTTGCTGCAACAGCACTGTCTGCAACAGTCCTAGTTGGGATTCTGATGCAACTTTGATGCATTTGCTGATGGTACATGTTTAGCTGCATTTTACTGGGAACTGTACTGCCAGAGAAAGTACCTAAAATCACACAAACTATGTGGAATTCTTTTCATTATATACTTGTTTCATATTATATAAAGTTTTTGGTCAAAGCTGTGTTAGCAGCTTAACACTCAGTTCATGCAGATGGCCTGTTCAAGGCCAGGTTGGAGGGAGCTTGGAGCAACCTGGTCTAGTGGAAAGTGTTCCTGCCCATGGCAGGGGTTGAAACTAAATGGTCTTTAAGGTCCTTTCCAACTCAAAACCATTCATGATTCTATGATTTAGGTATCTCAAATTCTTTCGTATTTTGGTTACTCACAGGGAGTAGCATAACAAATGACATTTGATACAATATCGTAGAGTGGAAGCAATATTTCATCTGGAGAACACACTCTGGGATCTTTCACGCACATATTGAAGAACATATCCTTTTCTGTCTGTCTACAGGTTTTACTATGTTGTTTCCCCCCCACCCCCCCCCCCAGCTCCCAGGGTGGAATGTTTGCATTGCATTTGTTTGCCTAGTACAGGTATTCTTCTAAATGAAAAGCAGACTTTTGCTAAAACCTTCTCTTCTCAGTGCTCTCTCTCATTCTGACAAGATGTCAACTTTTGGGAAATGGCTATTAACAGACAAATGTCTTCCCATTTTCCTTAAAAAATTGTTACTTAAATCTATGCTGATATTATCCTTGTACAAATTGCAGTAACTCTCTTGGAGTCAAGCTTCTTAAACTTTCAAACAGTTCTCAGACGAATAGTAGAAAAAAGCCAACATCAGTGTATGGCAGGGGGGTTGGAACTAGATGATCTTAAGGTCCTTTCCAACCCTAACTATTCTGTGATCCTATGTTCATTAAAAAAAGTTGGCTGTCCTCAGTCAGTTTAGGTTTCTTTGTGTTGAATTTTTATATTTGCAAATATAGCCATTAAAAAGGGAGACTATTATACTTAAATATTTTAATATTATTTCATTGAAATAATTTGAAAAATATCTTATTTCAAGCTGTGGGGTTTATTTTATATATACACTAACTATTTTTTTTTCTGTTGAGAAGGAAAAAAGTTTGATATCCTTAAGTAAAACGGCCATGGAGTATAGAAACCAAACATATATGTGACAGGTTATTTCTCTGGAATGCAGTTTGTTGTCTGAGGCTTAGGATTCTCAAAGAGGACTCACAAAGAAGA